TGACTTTCTTCTTGGGCCTCTGGGCATTGGCTTAGGACCCCCACCCTTCACCTCAGGGCCAGGGAATGGTCTTGGCTCAAGATAACTGAGTTCCTCATTTCCAGTGACACCTAATCCCCATCAGAGCAGGGCATGGAGAAGGCACTTGATCCAGGAGCCATGTGCTCTCTAAGGCTGACTTCATGCTCTGGCAGAGAGCAGCCCTGGGAATGCTGCTGTGAGGCTCAGAACCTTAGGTGTCCATTCTCAGGACTGAACATCAAACAGCGGCGGTGGAGGAAAATAGCTGGGCAGGAAGTGACCGGGCGTTCGGAAGGAGAGGGCAGCTGCCCGACTCTTGCCTGCTGAGCCGGCCTGCATTCCTGAGACACAATACATACCTTTTCCAGCCCATCAAGGGATAAATGCAGCTCTCTGCCTTGGCTGTGGGGATTATCCTGGGCTGTGTGATGGCTGAAAGAGCAAGGGCTCCTTCTGTTCCCAAAAGCCGGCTAATAATACACCAGTAAGTCATCTGTCCCTGGTTCATCAGAGGAGGAATTCCAAGAGACGATCCAGTTCACTCCTGAAGCTGCCTCTTGAAGCAGCAAGAGGTTCTCTTAAGATTTTTTTCTTTGGGTGGATTTTTTTTTTTTAAGATGGAGTCTCAGGTTGGGCGCAGTGGCTCACGCCTGTAATCCCAGCACTTTGGGAGGCTGAGGCAGACGGATCAGCTGAAGTCAGGAGTTCGAGACCAGCCTGACTAACATGGTGAAACCCCTTCTCTACTAAAAATACAAAAATTAGCCAGGCACAGTGGTACATACCTGTAGTCCTGGCCACTTGGGAAGGTGAGGCAGAATTGCTTGAACCCAGGAGGTGGAGGTTGTGGTGAGCCAAGATGTCACCATTGTACTCCAGCCTGGACAACAAGAATGAAACTCCATCTCAAAAAATAATAAAAAAGATGGAGTCTCTTTCTGTTGCCCAGGCTGGAGTGCAGTGGCAAAATATTGGCTCACTGCAACATCTGCCTCCTGGGTTCAAGCAATTCTCTTGCTTCAGCCTCCTGAGTAGCTGGGATTACAGGTATCCACCACCACACTCAGCTATTTTTTTATTTTTATTTTTTATTTTTTTAGTAGAGAAAGCATTTCACCATGTTAGCTAGGCTGGTCTCAAACTCCTGACCTGAAATGATCTGCCTGGCTCGGCCTCCCAAAGTGCTGAGATTACAGGTGTGAGCTACCACACCCGGCTGGATGGATTTTTTTTTTTTTAAATATTACATATGTCTCTTTCTTCTTCCCCATCTCAATAAGACATATATTCAGTGTAATTTACTCAGGGTTCTCATTAAGAAAACCAGTCACACTGTGCTGTAATGTCTTTGAGTAGAGAAGAAAACTTACACCTGGCAAACACCTGCAATGGACCAAACACAGTGTGAGGCATGGTGTGCCCGACGTTGGGGTATCCCGCTGAATGCGCATAACGAGTCTGTGAGGCAGGTGTGTCACCCGCATTTTATAGAGAAGACGAAGGCTCAGAGAAGCATACTGCCTGCCGTCACGTGGTGTGCGAGCGGGCAAGCTGAGGTCCACACTCAGGCTCCAAACTCCTCTGCTCTGACCTGCCACTACAGGGGTCCATGCCATTCTTCCCTCTCCTAGACAGACGTTTCCAAATGGCCAGACCTTGTGATTCCTGATACCCAGCTTTTCAACTGCTGCTCAGACTGCGATGAGTGCCGTCCCTCCCAGCCACCCAGGATTTCTCCTGGAGAGCTGACCTCCATCCCAGATGCTGGCCCTCTTCCCACAGCCTCCAGCAAGCTTTCTGTGGCTGCTGCCTCCGATTTCCTCATCTGAAAAGGAGGGAGCTCAGCCAAGGAGATGGTTCAGGTGGACGTTGTTTCCCCCTCATTCAAACACCATCAGCATGTGTGCCTTTTTGATCCACTAATCACCTTTGATTTGGTACCACACAGTTCATCTGGGGGAATGCGTCCTCACCCCTACAGATGAACGCCTCCCTGAAGGCAGGGACCACACCTTCTTCAGGAGTATCTCCCTGGGGGTGCTGGGTTCTGTGCCTGACACATAAAAAGTGTCCGACGTTGTTTATATTACTGAAAAATAAGATAGGAGGAATGATCCAGAGTAAAAGAAACTGCCAAGACCTCACAGCTGAACACTCCAGGAATCTACAACATTTTCTCCTAGATTTACTTACATTTGTTTGCTGAAAATGAAGAATTCCGATGAAGAGAAGGAAGGAACCATGGGTAAGTGTGGAAAGCCAGGCAAGAAGTCATCAGCATTCTAGAGCTTGTGTTCGGTTCTAACGTGATAACGGGTGCTTTCTTAAGGGAACTGAAAGAAATGTTGAATGGAGTATTTCTTTTTGAGATGGAGTTTCGCTCTTGTTGCCCAGGATGGAGTGCAATGGTGCAATCTCGGCTCACTGCAACCTCTGCCTCCCGGGTTCAAGCTATTCTCCTGTCTCAGCCTCCTGAGCAGCTGGGATTACAGGCATGTGTAACCATGGTCAGCTAATTTTGTATTTTTTAGTAGAGATGCAGTTTCTCTATGTTGGTCAGGCTGGTCTCGAACTCGCGACCTCAGGTGATCTAGAAGTGCTCTGTGTAGGGGCCAGAGCACAGGGGTGTTTTGGACATGTACCTTCACCCTGGGACCACACCCCAGTGGCCTCCACATCTAGGCTTGGTACCGCTGTGTGCAGGGCTGGGGAGGTGTGGTTTCTATTCCCAGTTGGGAAACATTGACAAACAGTTCTATTTAGAATAAACAGCCACAGGATGCCCACCCAGCCATCCTCCCAAAGATTTGTCAAGAAAAAAAAAGTAGGAGAATGGGCAAAAGCGTCTGACATACTCTTCTCTTAAGGCTCTATTTTTCCACTCCTGATTTAGAAATGACTACATTTGTTAGACAGCCCCCCTTGTCTGCCCTTTCTCCGCAGGCCACCACCGTCCCCCCTACCCCATCCCGGCCAGCAGCTGGTCTCTCCTAATTGGTAATCCGTCTTAATAGCCACGGGTCCTCGGGCAGCTGTCACCAGGAACACGAACTGGCGGCATAGCTCCCTGTCACGAATGCACTCGCTGGTCCTATTAGAGCTTAAGAAATAATTAAATTAATAATGATACCGAGACAGAACATTGCATAGGAGAAAAGAAGGGGAAGGAGGAGAGTAGAAGGAATAGAAGGGAGAAGAGGGCAAGGGGGGAGGGGAAATATTACTATTAATTATTATTAATTATTCCTGTCACAGGTTTTGCAATGACAACCCAAGGCTGTGACAAAATCTTGCTCAAAATTCCAAAAGGATTTCAACTTTTCATCCTCAGTCTTACTCATTTTTCCATGTGATGAGATTTCTAAGCAAGCCGCCTGACTTCAGTCCTCAGTCCACATGAGCCAGGGGCTTACACCACGTTTAGGGTGTGATGACCACCTGAGAACACACGCTGCTGCCCGCCCCCCTCAACCAGCAGCGAGGCCAGCCCATCACATCAGATGAGGGAGCACGGGCCCCAAATTCAGAGAAAGGCATCCCAAACTCCCGACGTCCTGCAGTCGGAAAACGGTGATGGATCCTGCTCATTTCTAATTATACCCCTTTCCCTTGGCAACGACCAAAATACGGGTGGAAGAAGCTGGTTCTCGGCTTGTGGGGCTGCTCATCCTCTTTCCAAATATAGAGAAGGAATGAGCTACGGGGGTTAGCAACGGCCTATAAAAGCCCGGGGAGCGGCCAGCCCTCTGTGGCTCGCCCGTGGGTGGAGGTAAGTCACAGGCTCCTCTTCTCCGTCTCAGCTGCTTGGAGCACACCCACTTGGTGAGCACATCCACACCCGGTGCATAGTGCCCTGGCCCTGCCTGGCTTCGGTAAGGTGGTGCCTTATTCCTGAGTTTTCTTTTTCTTTTTTCGAGATGGAGTCTCACTCTGTTGCTAGGCTGGAGTACAGTGTCACGATCTCAGCTCACTGCAACCTCCACCTCCGGGGTTCAAGTGATTCTCCTGCCTCAGCCTTCCGAGTAGCTGGGACTACAGGCACATGCCACCATGCCTGGCTAACTTTTGTAATTTTAGTAGCGACGGGTTTTCACCATGTTGGCCAGGATGGTCTCGATCTCTTGATCTCGTGATCTGCCCGCCTCGGCCTCCCAAAGTGCTGGGATTACAGGCGTCAGTCACTGCATCCAGCACCTTCCACAAGCAGGGGCCCTGCGGGTTCTCTTTCCCCACCCACTCTCCCCATCCTCCTCTCCACGTGTCCTCTTTGGCAGGATTCTTTCGGATGCCCCCTGGGCCCAGATGCCATGACTGATGTTCTCCTATTGTCTCTGTGACCCGGGAAGGGTTGACAGGACTGGGGCCTTACCCTGCCCTCACCGTCTCCACCTGGGCTGTGCATTTGCCAGGTGTCTTGTCCTCTCAAGACCACCCTGGTTGTGGCAATTGTGTGTAGATTAATCTCAGAGATACTGCCTGCTCGCAGACAAGGAGACCTCCCCCTGCCCTGGAACTGGAGGCTTTTAGCTGGGATGCCATCTCTGCTGTCCGATTCTAAACAGGAGGCAGGAAGACTGAAGCAGGCGCCATTGCAGGCTGGGAGAAACCAGATTTCTGCACAGCTGAGGGTGTTTCCTCCCTGCCTGGCTACCTGTGGGTCATGTCCCATCTGCTCCTCCAGCCTGTGTTTTTGTTGTTGTTGTTGTTTTGAGATGGAGTCTCGCTCTGTTGCCCCAGCTGGAATGCAGTAGCATGATCTCGGCTCACTGCCATCTCTGCCTCCTGAGTTTAAGCGAGTCTTCTGCCTCAGTCCCCCTAGTAACTGAGACTACAGATGATCGCCACCATGCCAGGCTAATTTTTATATTTTTAGTAGAGACGGGGTTTCACTGTATTGGCCCGGCTGGTCTCCAACTCCTGACCTCGTGATCCGCCTGCTTCGGCCTCCCAAAGTGCTGGGATCGCAGGTGTGAGCCACCGTGCCTGGCCCCAGTCTGCCTTTAAATTATTAGTCCTTTATCCTTTTGAGTTAACTCATCAGAAGCCAATTCAACATGGAAGCAGCCACCCCAGGTGCCGCTGAGTTGGGTATGTGCCTATTATTCCAGGTCCGGGACCTCCTGGCTGCTGCTGCTTTCTGCTCTCATCCTCCAGGTAGGACTCTCAGGTGAGAAGCTGGGCCCTGTCCATTGGCTGTTGGAGGTCTCTAGGTGATCCAAGCTTGCCAGTTCCTCCCTCCTCCCACCGGCCATAAAGCGACAGACAGAGGGACAGAGGAACTAGCACGTTTAGACAAGGACAGGTTCAGATGGGAGAGGAGGTGGCATTTGGGGGACTGTCAAACCGATGCTGATGTTAGATGTTTGCTTTTGTTCTTAGCAACCCAAGGAAATAAAAGGCAGGTTCCCTGGTGAGAGGATGAAGCCACCTTGATTGAAATGGTTCAAAAATTTCTTTACTATTTGCCATTAGCACACTCTGAAGAAGACATTTATTTTTTAATGGTGTTTATTTTATTTGTTTGCTTATTTATTTATTTTTGAGATGGAGTTTTGCTCTTGTTGCCCAAGATGGAGTGCAGTGGTGCAATCTTGACTTACTGCAATCTCCACCTTCCTGGTAAACGATTCTTCTGCCTCAGCCTCCTGAGTAGCTGGGAATACAGGCACTTGCCATCATGCCCAGCTAATTTTTTGTATTTTTAGTAGAGACGAGGTTCCACCATGTTGGCCAGGCTGGTCTCGAACTCGTGACCTCAGGTGATCCACCCACCTTGGCCTCCCAAAGTGCTGGGATAAGAGGCATGAGCCACCCCACTGGCCTGGTGTTTATTTTTAAACATTCCCTCAGCAACACCTGGGTTTCACAGAAGAGGAAAAGGAGGTCCCAAGAGGGGTGCTCACTTCTAAGGTCCCTTCGCCAGTGCAAGCCTCAGATGCTTGAGGAGCTTGGATTATAGGCTGTAGGCCTGTCGCACAGAGTCGCCCTTCAGTAAACATGTGCCCATGTGATTTCCTAGCACTGAAGCTCTTTGGGTGGAGCTCCTCGAAGCATGAGGACAGCCTTGTTCCTGGGACCCTGACTTTGAGGGCTCCGGTGGCTGAAGTAGGGCAGAGCAGATGCTGAGACAGCCTGGAGCTGCCGGGCGCCCAGCAAGGGGGCAGCTGGGCTCATGGGTGGGCTTGCTTTCCAGCTGACACCATGAGCAGTGACAGTGAAATGGAAGTGTTCGGCATGGCCGCTCCTTTCCTCCGAAAGTCAGAAAAGGAGCGGATCGAGGCTCAGAACCAGCCCTTCGATGCCAAAACTTACTGCTTTGTGGTGGATTCAAAGGAAGAATATGCCAAAGGGAAAATCAAGAGTTCTCAGGATGGGAAGGTCACCGTGGAAACTGAGGACAGCAGGGTAAGACTCTGCACCCTGCACAGGCCGCTGGCCACCACGGGTCCTTGTGGTTGCCTTGGGTCTGCATCTGCCCAACCCCAGCCACCTCCAGATGTGGCTCCAGCACGGGAATGCCACCTACGACGTAGCCTGCGGCTTCCCAGGTGTCTTCAGAGAAAGCAGGGTGGATACCGGCCTCAGGTTCGAGGGTGGGAATAGAGGCTGGCTGTGGCTGATTAAAACAATTAGTTTTCATTAGCTGGGCATGGTGGCACGTGCCTGTAATCCCAACTACTCAGGAGGCTGAGGCAGGAGAATTGCTTGAACCCAGGAGGCGGAGGTTGCGGTGAGCCGAGATCGCGCCATTGCACTCCAGCCTGGGTAACAAGAGCGAAACTCCGTCTCAAAAAAAAAAAAGAAAAAACAAAACAAAAAAAAAAAAACAATTAGTTTTCAGGTATTTTTGTCCATGTTCACTGTAGGCCAGAGGTGCCCAGCTCCATGCGTCCCAAGGGTGTGGAGGTGGGAGTTCAACACTAATGAGAGATGTTTTAGAACACCCTCCTTTGATAGCCTAGATTTCTCCCAAATTCTTCTAGCGATGACCATCTAACTAAGGAAGTAAGGAAAACAGGTAAGGGATCCCAGGGCACCACAAGCTCAATGAAATAGCAGCTTCCTTGTATCATGAAGGTGATGAGCACTGCAGCCCGATACATTTCTGGCCCAAGCCATTGTGGGGGTGCCGTGAGAAATTCTACACCTCACTAGTTTCTAAAACCTAGACCAGGAGAATCTGGAAATGTCCCAAGAAGGGAGGGAGGGAGGAGGGACGGAGGGAGGGAGGGAAAAGAGGAAAAAGAAAATGCAAGAGACTAGTAAAGAGCATCATTGGGTTGGGCATGCAGGAAAACGGCATTGAAAACAGCCGGGCAGTGCTAAGCATTGGCCCTCCCAGAAGGTGGCTCTCTGTGTATTTCAGATAAGGAGCTAAGAATGAGCTCCTAATGCATCAGGGAAGGTGGAAGTTAGACACAGTGAATGATAATCTAAGATGAGCCTAAGAGGCCACCATAGGCAGTGAGGGCCCCTTGGTGGGGATGGTTTGAATGAATCCCTGCTTGATGGCAGGGAAAAGGCAGGTTTCCCATTCACACTGCCCAGAGACAGAACCAGGAAAACGTATCCTTTTCTCTGTGATCCTTCAGAAGAGGTCACAGAGAAAAAGGAGGTGAGGACAGGGCAGGGGAGAGGAAGACAAGCTCCCCACCCCCAATGCCTGAGGTCCTCCAGCCCCAGGAAGCCCGAGGGTGTGGGGGTTTCTCCTGCTGAGAGAAGTGGAGACACCTGCCTTTGCTCAGAACTCTCAAGGTGCTGTTTGCCTGGCTTATAACACTCTGACCCCTGAAAGGGCAGGAAAGGGGTGAGGTGGGCGGCTGGGGGGCTCTTTCCTAAGCATGCTGGGCTGGGTGGTGAAGGCGGAAGATGTGGGCGGGGGACTAGACAGCTGCTTTCAGAGAGCTCGGAATGTTGGCAATCTGCAGGCACCAGCCTGGCGCTCCAATGCCCCTCATTCTCTTTGGTCCCTGCCTCAGGACTGCAGGGAACATACGTGTCGTTTTCTCTAGCAGACAGCACAGAGCCAGCTGCTGGAGCTGGATTTTGGTCCAGGCAGTGTTACTGACAGCTGAAAGTTTCCTGTGGCTCCTGGTCCCAGGCACCATCGCCCGCATCCACCCACAGAGATCCTCTTTTCCCACTTCTGACATCCGTCTGTCTCGCCTCAGGCCCACTGGAGAGGAAAAAGAAAGCCCTCAGTAACAGAGACAAACCCCATTCCCTCAGCACCTCCACAAGCCACTCCAAAGCCTTTCCTCCTCTCGCTGTGAGCTGGGCTTGCTCTAGCGCTCCGCCCTTCTCTCTGAGCTCTCGAGTCTCTTGGTCTCCTTGTGGGGGCAACAGACAAGATGTGCAGAGAATCTTATGAAACACTGTGACTTTGCCCTTTTAGACCCTGGTGGTCAAACCGGAGGATGTGTATGCCATGAACCCCCCCAAGTTCGACAGGATCGAGGATATGGCCATGCTGACGCACCTGAACGAGCCGGCTGTGCTGTACAACCTCAAGGACCGCTACACATCCTGGATGATCTATGTCTGTGGTTTCCCCCTGGGCGTGTGATTGGGGGCGGGGGAGGGAGGTGGGCCATGGGATTCTGGAAGATCAGTGCTTGCCTGGCTGATGAACAAAAGACAAACAGGGAAGAGAAGACAAGAAAGCCAGAGGTGGATGGGGCTGGAGGAAGGAGAGTGGGGGGGAGGATCAGGAGCTGGAGAGCAGGGAACCTGGGGCCAGGCTTGGTCGTGGGGGTGCTGTGACTTACCAACTGTGGGAGGGTCGGTTACATCCCTTTTTGAGTCTCAGTGCCTCATTATAAATAAAAATGGTAGCTTCCCCCCTTTACAAGTTTATCCCAAAGAAACATGAGGTAAGAATAAAGGCAAAGGGTTTCACATACCCACAGACATGCATATACACACGTATGTGTTTTTCCTCCCACAGACCTACTCAGGCCTGTTCTGTGTCACCGTCAACCCCTACAAGTGGCTGCCGGTGTACAACCCCGAGGTGGTGGAAGGCTACCGAGGCAAAAAGCGCCAGGAGGCCCCGCCCCACATCTTCTCCATCTCTGACAACGCGTATCAGTTCATGCTGACCGGTGAGTTCCCGGGAGGAAGCATGGGGTGCTGGGGCAGGGGCTGCGTGGAGAGGCGCAGGGCAGCTGGCCCTGGGTCCCAGGCTGGTCCCCATCTGGTATTTAGCACAGGGAAAGGAGGAAGGAGGAGCCAAAAGAGGCAGAAAGAGGCCGTATTACGTAGGGCCCGACAGGCCAAGGTGATGAGTTTGGATTTAATGCAAGTGAGAACATGCAAAACTGATGTTTTCATAGGTTAGAACCCAAGACTGACCATTGTATATAGTTCAACTTAATACAAAGAGAAGCCACTGGCTGGTTCTGAGTAGAGACTTGGCCTCTCTGAGTCTCAGTCTCATTAAGGAGGCTCTTGATGTTGACCAAAGGATACGGCTGGACAGGAGGAATCTGTGCTGGTGATCTGTCCCACACAAGGGGGACTCTGCTAGGTAATAATGCATTGCATATTTTGAAATGGCGAAAATAGCATATTTTAAATGTTTTCTCCACAAGAAAAAAAGTATGTGAGGTGATGGATTTGTTAACTAACTTGATGTAATCATTCTGCCATATATATATATGTGTGTGTATATATATATATGTACAAATATATATGTATATATATGTACATATATATGTACAAATATATATGTGTATATATATATAAAATCACGCTATACCATATATATATAATTATTTGTCAATTTAAAATAAAATGAAAAAGACCAGGCGTGGTGACTCACGCCTGTAATCCCAGCACTTTGGGAGCCCAAGGCAGACAGATCACCTGAGGTCAGGAGCTCGAGACTAGCCTGACCAACATGGCGAAACCCTGTCTCCACTAATAATACAAAAGCCAGGCCAGAGTGGTGGCATGTGCCTGGAATCCCAGCTACTTGGGAGGCTGAGGCAGGAGAATCACTTGAACCCGGGAGGTGGAGGTTGTAGTAAGTCGAAATTGTGCCATTGCTCTTCAGCCTGGGTGACAGAGTGAAACTCCATCTCAAAAAAAACCAAAATAAATAAAATAAGATAAACCAGATGGAGGCTCTTCAGATTCCCACCTAAGGCTAAACAAAAAATTTAAAGGAAGAAAACTGTGCAGTTTAACTCTGTCTGCTTCAGAGTTGAGTAGAATCGGGAGGCTTGTCTTCTAAGAAATCCCAGGCTCTAGTCGACAATCTTTTTATATTGCCATCAACTATTTTATTTTTTCCTCTGGCAGATCGTGAAAACCAGTCCATTCTGATCACGTAAGTATCGCTGGCATAGAGTGGTTTCATAGCTGTGACCAAATATGCTACTGGCTCTATTCTCTTCATTAGAAAGTGTTTGGAGCAAAGACTATAATAAAAAGATCAATTTGGGGATGGGCAGGAAGGTCTGCATAAGGCCTCAGAAAAATGGAATGACCCATCCTTGGGTCAACTGAGCAAGTGGCTGTGGCATCTGTGTCCTGGGCTTCTGCCTTCTCCAGTGGTCTGTCACATTAGTTTGGTAGGTGTGTGTCAGAGGTGGCTCAGACCATGCCCAGGCCCCAGTATGACATCCTGGAAAGTCTGCTGATACTAACAGACTTCTTTCTTTCTCTCTCTTTTGATCACTCTGCACAGCGGAGAATCCGGGGCAGGAAAGACTGTGAACACCAAACGGGTCATCCAGTACTTTGCAACAATTGCAGCTACTGGGGACCTGGCCAAGAAGAAGGACTCCAAAATGAAGGTACGGACGGGAGAGAAAGGCTTGCTTTGCTTCCACTTTTAACCATTGTCTTAATCTCTGAATGGGGGAGCCAAACGTCCTCACATTCCTCCTTTTCAGGGAAGGGAGAGCGGGCTGGGATTGACTGTCTTGAAGGACAGCTAGTCATCTTAGATGAGGAGTTGATCTTGTAGGACTTGATCCCAGGATTTCTTAGTAGACAAAGCTCTAAGGCTAAACTAATAAAGGTCAATCTGCAGACAGCTCAGAGAGCTTGTTTGTTTGTTTGTTTTGAAATGGAGTCTCACTCTTGTTCCCCAGACTGGAGTGCAATGGCGCGATCTCGGCTCACTGCAACCTCTGCCTCCCGGGTTCAGGTGATTCTCCTCCCTCAGCCTCCCAGGTGGCTGGGATTATAGGCGCCTGCCACGGTGCCTGGCTAATTTTTGTATTATTAGTAGAGATGGGTTTCACCATGTTGGCCAGGATGGTCTCGAACTCCTGACCTCAGGTGGTCTGCCTGCCTCAGACTCTCAAAGTGCTGGGATTATAGGCATGAGCCACCATGCCCAGCAGAGAGTGTGTTCTTTTATGGCAGAATCACATATACCAATGTGAGTGAATCACAGCATATCCTGAAACAAATGTATTATAGCAGTATGAAATGAATATGGACAACTGACTAGAGAATCAAGGGATCGAAGTGTTAAAGGAATGTTCAGTCAAGAGACCCAACCATAGCGCCAAATATAACAAAATGGCAAAAGTGTTTTGAGTAAGACCACTTCTGATTTGGTTGGTCCTCAGATTGGAAAGTCAAGGAGGGTGGGGCTTTATCAGGGCAAGCCAGAGTTGCAGAGTGGGTGAGCAATTTTTACTGTCATTTTGTGGCTTACAAAAAAAAAAATTTCCTCAGACCGGGCATGGTGGTTCAGGCCTGTAATCCCAGCACATTGGGAGGCCGAGGCGGGCGGATCATCTGAGGTTGGGAGTTCGAGACCAGCCTGACCAACATGGAGACACCCCATCTCTACTAAAAATGCAAAATTAGCTGGGCATGGTGGCGCGTGCCTGTAATCCCAGCTACTCAGGAGGCTGAGGCAGGAGAATCGCTTGAACCCAGGAGGCGGAGGGTGCAGTGAGCTGAGATTGCACCGTTGCACTCCAGCCTGGGTGACAAAAGCAAAACTCTGTCTCAAAAAAACAAACAAACAAACAAAATGTTTCCTCGTCCTCACTCAATTTCTTGCATTAGGGGACTCTGGAAGACCAAATCATCAGTGCCAACCCCCTGCTGGAGGCCTTCGGGAACGCCAAGACTGTGAGGAACGACAACTCCTCCCGTTTTGTGAGTCTGAGTTTGGTTCTGAGGTGATTTGCTTTGTGCCTCACAAGATAGGCAAGAGGTGTGTCCTCAAAGAGTCACCAGGGGTGACAGGTGATGAGAAATGAGACAACTCAAGACTATTTCAGACAAAGAGAAATTCAGGCCAAGTTCATTGAACAGCGTGTGTGAGAGAGGAACTGGGAGCCAGGCTCACTTTAGGCAGGGTGGGCAGGGAAGGTCTCTCTGAGACGGCAGCATGAGAAGGAGCCTGGCTTGAAACTACAAGGGCGTGGCGGGGCGGCGTGGATAAAGAAAGAACCAGTTCATTCCCTGATGTGGGGATGGGCCTGGTACAGTCAGGGCACCTGCAGAGGGTCCGTGTGGCTGTAGGGAGGAAGGCAGGGGGGCCAGTCCCCTGAGATGAGGTGGAAGAGAGAGAAAGAGATCTGGTCATGGGGGAGCTGTGAGCCATGAGAAGAAGCCTGGATTCTATTCCGAGTGTAACAGGAAGCTACTCAGGGATTCTGTAAACCAGGGAGTGATAGGATTATTTACACGTTGAAACAATCATTCTAGTTGCTTTGTTGAGCATAGAATAAAAGGGATAAATAAAAGGAGACAGGCTGGGCATGGTGGCTCATGCCTGTAATCTCAGCACTTTGGGAGGCCGAGGCAGGTGGATCACAAGGTCAACAGATGGAGACCATCCTGGCCAATGTGGTGAAACCCCGTCTCCACTAAAAATACAAAAATTGGCTGAGCGTGGTGGTGGGCACCTGTAGTCCCAGCTACTCAGGAGGCTGAGGCAGGAGAATCACTTGAATCCCAGAGATGGAGATTGCAGTGAGCCGAGATCACACCACTGCACTCTAGCCTGGTGACAGAGCAAGACAGTGTCTCAATAAATAAATAAATAAAATTTTAAAAAATAAGAAGAAACACTAAACTGGAAAGAGAAGAAGAGAGAAGCGGGAGGACATATCTAATTTCAAACTGTAGGGGGAATGGGCTCCTGTTTACATTGCCCAGAGACAAAGGGAACTATCGGGCCATGGTAGAACCTGGTCTCCTCCTCAATCCCACCCCATACAGGGCAAGTTCATCCGAATCCACTTTGGAACCACGGGGAAGCTGGCCTCTGCAGATATTGAAACTTGTAAGTAGATCCATGAGGATTAGATGGGGTCTCAGAGAGATGGGGAACAGTTTGAAAGAGTCCTGCATTTGTGTTCCAGATCTGCTGGAAAAATCAAGAGTCACTTTCCAGCTGAAGGCTGAAAGGAGCTACCATATCTTCTACCAGATTCTTTCTAACAAGAAGCCTGAGCTCATAGGTGAGGAAGTCACCAATGGGGATGGCCTTTTAGGCAGTTTGACTCTGGTCACTAGACCGAGAAGAGTTGTATCTACATATGGTGACTCCACAGTCAATAGAAAAAGTTTTATTATTTACTTTGAGATAGGGTTTCACTGTGTTGCCCAGGCTGGAGTGCAGCGGCACAATCACAGCTCATTTGCAACTTTGACCTTGCCAGGTTCAAGCAATCCTTCAGCCGTAGCCTCCTGAGTGGCTGGGACTACAGGGCGCATGCCCCCACACCCAGCTGCTACCTTTTGTATTTTTTGTAGAGATGAGGTTTCACCATGTTGCCCAGACTGGTCTTGAACTCCTGGGCTCAAGCAATTTGCCTGGCTTGGCCTCCCAAAGTACTGGGATTACCAGCGTGAGCGACTGCACCTGGGCAGGAAAAGTTTATTTTAGAAATGGGATGTGACTATCTTGGCAGTGACATGCCAATTAGAAAAACCTGATCAAATGGAGGGTAACAAGCTCTGGTTTGTAAAAACCTTCTGAGCAACTGAACATCTAACTGTCCTTTGGCGCCCCCTTCTGTTCTGGTATAGAAACAACCTATGGCCGAACGTGATACCAAAGCAAACAGCCAAGCCCGTGGAGGCACTAACTGCACGCTGCCCCTGGTCAGCCCCTCACAGGGGTCTCCATGCACACTGCTTTCTGTCTTCTTTGGCTGTGCTTGCTCAGCCTTCTGGTTTCCACTTGGAAACAGGCTGCAGCCTTTCGACAGATTTTAGAAAAAGGCTATGATTATACCAAACAACCTGGGTGGGCCCTTGTCCTGACCCACATTCAGCAAGTTTTCCCTATTAACTTCTCCCAGCTGACACTGATAATGCACCATTAGCATGCAACGAAAGGGAATTTAAAGGTTCTCTCTAGGGTCCTTCAGCTCCATTGTGTGGGTGACTGAAAAGTCTTCCCTGGACTATATTTTCCATGACAGCCTGAGTATTGTAGAGCTGTCTAAATTTTTTTTTTCTTTTTGATGGAATCTTGCTCTGTCACCCAGGCTGGAGTGCAATGGTGCTACCTCAGCTCACTGCAGCCTCTGCCTCCTGGGTGCAAGCGATTCTGCTGCCTCAGCCTCCCAAGTATCTGGGACTATGGTCACCCACCACTATGCCCAGCTAATCTTTGTATTTTTAGTAGAGACGAGGTTTCACTATGTTGGCCAGGCTGTTCTCGACCTCTTGACCTCGTGATCCGCCTGCCTCGGCCTCCCAAAGTGCTGGGATTACAGGAGCAAGCCACCGTGCCCGGCCTGTCTAAAAGTTTTTAAATTCTAAGTTCAACTTGGACTCCCATGGTAAAAGTTCCAGCCCAGGGTGCAGGAGCTCAGGTCCATCGGGTGGGTTTTTTTCTTTGCATCTGCATGACCTCCTGGAACTACTTGTTATTTCAGAGCTGTTGCTTATTACAACCAACCCCTACGACTACCCGTTCATCAGCCAGGGGGAGATCCTGGTGGCCAGCATAGACGACTCGGAGGAGCTGCTGGCTACGGATGTAGGTGGAACCAACAGAAGGGGTGGGTGGGTGTTCCTCCTCCATCACCAGGACCAACTGACTGATGTGCTGCCCTTTCCATGCCAGAGTGCCATTGATATCCTGGGCTTCACCCCAGAAGAGAAATCTGGGCTCTACAAGCTGACAGGAGCCGTGATGCACTATGGGAACATGAAGTTCAAGCAGAAGCAGCGAGAGGAGCAGGCGGAGCCAGACGGCACAGAAGGTACAAAATCAGTGTGGCAAGCCACAAACCAGAGCGGGTGGCAGATCTGCTGAGGTCACTCAGTGCCGCTTTTGAAAGCAATTAATCCACTCAGGCGCAGTGGTTCACACCTGTAATCCCAGTGCTTTGGGAGGCTGAAGGAGCCAGATCACCTGAGGTCAGGAGTTTGAGACCAGCATGGCCAACATGGTGAAACCCCATTTCTACTAAAAAAAAAAAAAAAAGTTAGCTAGACATGGTGGTGCATGCCTGTAATCCCAGCTACTCAGGAGGCTGAGGCATGAGAGTCAGACAGAATTTTGCTCTGCTGCCCAGGCTAGAATGCAGTGGCGTGACCTCGGCTCACTGCAATGCCCGGGTTCAAGTGATTCTCCTCAGCCTCCTGTATAGCTGGGATTACAGACACACACCACTATGCCTGGCTAACATTTTTTGTATTTTTAGCAGAGACAGGGTTTTACCATGTTGGCCAGGCTGGTCTCAAGCTCCTGACCTCAAATAATTTGCCTGCCTCAGGCTCTCAAAGTGCTGTGATTACAGGTGTAAGCCATTGCGCCTGGCTGGCATGAGAGTTTCTTGAACCTAGGAGGTGGAGGTTGCAGTGAGCTGAGATCACACCCCTACACTCCAGCCTGGGCCACACAGTGAGACTGTCTCAAAAACAAAAAACAAAAAACAAAACAAAAAAAAAACAAATTGGAAGCGATTAATCCTTCTTCCATTCAGAGAAGTGAATGACCGTTTCTGGGCCTCAGACGCCCACAGCTATTGTTACCACTCGCTGTTGCTGAATCACTAAAGTGGTCTTATTTCAGATGCAGTGAGGGATGACCAGGGCTTTCTGAAGCCCAGCCCTGCCTTCTCATCAAGTCCATCATATTCTCTGAGTCCCTTAGCTTCGCTTGGCCATGTATATGCGGTTCAGCCACAGGGAACGCACAGCATACCGAGATGAACTTAGCCAAGCTTTGAAACGTCTGGATGATGCTCCAAGCGGCTCTCCCCCATTTCTGATTTCTGTCCTTGTCTTCTCACCAGTGGCTGACAAAACAGCCTACCTGATGGGCCTGAACTCCTCGGACCTCCTGAAAGCTTTGTGCTTTCCCAGAGTGAAAGTTGGGAATGAGTATGTTACCAAAGGTCAAACTGTGGATCAGGTAACTGTTTTGAGGCTGGGAAAGGGTGCGGGGCCTTGCTGGCCACTGCCTTCATACCCATTAGCTGATCTTTCCCTGGATAGGTTCATCACGCCGTGAACGCTCTTTCAAAATCAGTCTATGAAAAGCTGTTCTTGTGGATGGTCACCCGCATCAACCAGCAACTGGACACGAAGCTGCCAAGACAGCACTTCATTGGTGTTTTGGACATTGCAGGCTTTGAAATCTTTGAGGTTTGTGTGACTTCCATTCATATCTTCATATGAGGGAAACCGGTTTTCATGATCCTCAAGGGAAGATCGCAAGGTGGCTTTTTTCCTATAGGAGACTAGACGGAGAGTGGATGGAATAGAATAGCAGTACTTTTTGCAAGGGTTTGTATTAGTTCTACTTTTTTTTTTTTTTTTTTTTTTTTTTTTTTTTTTTTTTTTTTTAGACAGAGTTTCACCTTGTCACCCGGGCTGGAGTGCAGCGGGGCAATCTCGGCTCACTGCGACCTCTGCTTCCTGAGTTCAAGTGATTCTCCTGCCTCGGCCTCCTGAGTAGCTGGGATTACAGGTGCATGCCAGCATGCCAGACAAATTTTTGTATTTTTAGTAGAGACGGAGTTTCTCCATGCTGGGCAGGCTGCTCTCGAACTTCTGACCTCAAGTGATCCATCCACCTCAGCCTCCCAAAGTGCTGAGATTATGGGTGTGAGCCACTGTACCCTGTTGGGTTTGTATTATTATTATTTTTTTTGAGACGGAGTTTCACTCTTGTTACCCAGGCTGGAGTGCAATGGCACGATCTTGGCTCACCGCAACCTCCGCCTCCTGGGTTCAAGCAATTCTCCTGCCTCAGCCTCCTGAGTAGCTGGGATTACAGGCACATGCCACCATGCCCAGCTAATTTTTTGTATCTTTAGTAGAGACGGGGTTTCACCATGTTGACCAGGATGGTCTTGATCTCTTGACCTCGTGATCCACCCGCCTCAGCCTCCCAAAGTGCTGGGATTACAGGCTTGAGCCACCACGCCCGGCAGGTTTGTATTATTTTTAAAAAGAGGAAGATGTCTATCAAGTGGCATGTTAAAGGACATTTTCAAATGAATAAAAGAAAAAAGAATTAAATCCAATTACTAATTTAGGGACTGCCAAAAAAAAGAGACAGAGAATTTGAAAAGTTACTCACACACTATTTTCTATAAATATCCCACGGGTTCTGTGTTAGACTTGCGTAGCCACTCATCAAAGTATATATTTAGCATTTCCCAGGTACAAGACATGCAGATGAAAAAAAGATGAGCTTGTAGTCCAGTAGTCTCTAGTAGACAGAAATAGAAGTCCATATGGCACATTCAAGAGCAACTACAAAATAAAGTACACAAGCGATGCCCAGCCTGCGGAACTCAGGAGAGGGAGAAGCACCTTCTAACTGGAAGTCTACAGAAGACTCCAAGGAGGAGGTGTGACCTGAGGCAGGCCTTGAAGACTGTGACTGTATGAGAGTATTCATGCATTTGCCAAGAGCATGGACAATGAGGAGGAATGCTGATGGTCTTTGATTCTGAAAGAAGTCTAACTCTTCACACAAACATTATATTTTGTTGTTAGTATAACAGCCTGGAGCAGCTGTGCATCAACTTCACCAACGAGAAACTGCAACAGTTTTTCAACCACCACATGTTCGTGCTGGAGCAGGAGGAGTATAAGAAGGAAGGCATCGAGTGGACGTTCATCGACTTCGGGATGGACCTGGCTGCCTGCATCGAGCTCATCGAGAAGGTAACCTGTTCCATCCCCACAGTCAGCTCTTCTCAAAGACTCTTCTGCTTGTTACTGTAGCTCATATTTACCCCTATGCACTCTGCCTTGCCTTCAATCCAGCCCATGGGCATCTTCTCCATCCTGGAAGAGGAGTGCATGTTCCCTAAGGCAACGGACACCTCCTTCAAGAACAAGCTGTATGACCAGCATCTGGGCAAGTCCAACAACTTCCAGAAGCCCAAGGTGGTCAAAGGCAGGGCTGAGGCCCACTTCTCGCTGATCCACTATGCAGGCACTGTGGACTACAGTGTCTCGGGCTGGCTGGAGAAGAACAAGGACCCTCTGAACGAGACTGTGGTCGGGCTGTACCAGAAGTCCTCCAACAGGCTCCTGGCACACCTCTATGCCACGTTTGCCACGGCGGATGGTAACAGGAGTGCTTTGTGTTCATGTGATCTCTCTCCATTTGTCCCATGGTAACAAAAAACCTTTTAGTTTCGCCTACAGCGAGTCCCTTCCTTTATTGCTTTCAGCTGACAGTGGGAAGAAGAAAGTTGCCAAGAAGAAGGGTTCTTCCTTCCAAACGGTCTCTGCCCTTTTCAGGGTAAGAAAAATACAAGTTTATTTGCTTTACACTGGTTTAAGTCATATCAAAATGAGCAGTGTTGAGATTCTAAACTTGACCTATTCAAGAGCAGTAGTGTTGTCTTGATCTGATTAGTGTCACTTACTGAGGTGAAGTGACAGGTAATAAAGGATAATAAATATGGTCTAACCAATGTGGGAGGAGAATATCACTATTATCTTTTACCAAAGATAGCTGAGTTGGCTGATCTGGGGGATGAGTTTCCAGGAAAAACTGTCCAGTTTTCCTATAGGACACCAGCAATAGACCTCACGCCCCCGGTGGATCCATACCCTGAGTTGACTTCAGACAGCGTTTTGTACTTGGCGAGCCCCTGGCTCACTGGGAGACAAAAGACAACTGTATCAGTTACTAGCCTAGACCTCCAGCCACAGGACCATGAAAAGACAGAGCTAAATCATTTCACTATCCTTTAGAACTTACGATCAATTTTAAACACAGATCTTATTTTCATTACAATGGATCTCTGTCTTCATAAAAACCTCCAGTAGAATGGCAAATGTCATTTTTTTTTTTCTTTTAGGAAAACCTGAACAAGCTGATGTCAAACTTAAGAACTACTCACCCTCACTTTGTGCGTTGTATAATTCCCAATGAAACCAAAACTCCAGGTGAGACACCTGCTGGCTCTCTAGGCGGCGCTCGGTTTTTAGGAAACTCTGTGTAAGGCTGTTATCTTGCTTCTCTTCCCAGGGGCGATGGAACACAGCCTTGTCCTGCACCAGCTGCGCTGTAACGGCGTCCTGGAGGGCATCCGTATCTGCAGGAAAGGATTCCCAAACAGGATTCTCTATGGGGATTTTAAACAAAGGTGTGTACTAAAAATGTTCTATATGCGTGGTGATGACCTGTACAGACACTGGAATTTGAGAGGGAGAAAGACTGGTATGAAAAGACCCACAGTTATAGACCTCCATGTAAACTGAACGACTCGTCATTTGGCCGAGGTATACATATTTGTTTCTTGCACGTTTTTCTCTGGAATTTATCAGATGTACAAAATGGCAGAACAAGCTCCAGCCTCAGAGTCAAGAGACCTAGATTCTAGACTGCTGTCTAGCAATGGGACTCTGAGCTGGTGTCTTCATCTCCCGGGACCTTGGCCTTCTGCCTACGGGAAGAGAGGCCCAAACTGCATGATCTCCAAGGTTTGTGTGTTTGCCAACAGTCTGTGATGATTTCCGTGTCTACAATGCAGATACCGAGTGCTGAATGCCAGTGCGATCCCTGAGGGACAATTCATTGACAGCAAGAAAGCTTGTGAAAAGCTTCTGGCATCCATCGATATTGACCACACTCAGTACAAATTTGGACACACCAAGGTAATGCATCAGTTCTGACAGAGGCTGGCCTTTCCATCTTCTAGACACAGCCTCTCCAGGAAACTGACCCGTGTCGCCCTTCTGCCCCATCAGGTGTTCTTCAAGGCTGGCTTGCTGGGAACCCTGGAAGAGATGAGGGATGACCGCCTGGCCAAACTGATCACCCGGACACAAGCTGTGTGCAGAGGGTTTCTCATGCGTGTGGAATTCCAGAAGATGGTGCAGAGGAGGTCCGGCAGGGTCTTTGTTCAAACGTGAGCTCTCTGGGGAAGGTGGCGGGTGTTCTCTCGCAGAAACAAGCAAGGTCTTGTTTTTAGGGAGTCCATCTTCTGCATCCAGTACAACATTCGCTCATTCATGAACGTCAAACACTGGCCATGGATGAAACTCTTCTTCAAGATCAAGCCCCTCCTCAAGAGTGCGGAGACTGAGAAAGAGATGGCCACCATGAAGGAGGAATTCCAGAAAACCAAAGATGAACTTGCCAAGTCAGAGGCAAAAAGGAAGGAGCTAGAGGAGAAGCTGGTGACTCTGGTCCAAGAGAAGAATGACCTCCAGCTCCAAGTACAAGCTGTATGTGTTTAGCAGCTGTATTTATTTCTTGTTTTAACTTTTCTAGATTTGATTATTTATTTAGAAAAACTGGGATTTTGATGGGGATTTTTGCTTTTTAGTTGAAACGCTTCATAAAGAACTTCATATATAACAAAACACTGGAATGCCACAAACTTTATATCATTAAAGGAAATTATTATTCTTTTCTTTTTAAGGAAAGTGAAAATTTGTTGGATGCTGAGGAAAGATGTGATCAGCTGATCAAAGCCAAATTTCAGCTCGAGGCCAAGATCAAGGAGGTGACTGAGAGAGCTGAGGATGAGGAAGAGATCAATGCTGAGCTGACAGCCAAGAAGAGGAAACTGGAGGATGAATGTTCAGAGCTCAAGAAAGACATTGACGACCTTGAGCTGACACTGGCCAAGGTTGAGAAGGAGAAACATGCCACAGAGAACAAGGTATCCTCCTTGCAGGTACATCTAGGTTGATATATTGCAAACTAAATTTTATGCTTATACTTGCTTGTGGATTCTTCTTAGGTTAAAAACCTTACTGAGGAACTCTCCGGGTTAGATGAAACAATTGCCAAGTTAACCCGGGAGAAGAAGGCCCTCCAAGAGGCCCACCAGCAGACCTTGGATGACCTCCAGGCTGAAGAAGACAAAGTCAATTCTTTGAACAAAATCAAGAGCAAACTGGAACAGCAAGTGGAAGACGTAAGTAAATAATGCTCATTCAAAGTCCCAGAACTCCAGGACTGGAGGAGCTCTCAAGGGTCCTCTTGCAAAGCATTTGTTCCCAAAAGGAAATGGTGCCTTTTTTTCAGCTGGAAAGCTCCCTAGAACAAGAAAAGAAGCTCCGCGTAGACCTGGAAAGGAACAAAAGGAAGTTGGAAGGAGACTTGAAGCTTGCCCAGGAGTCCATATTAGATCTGGAGAACGACAAGCAGCAGCTGGACGAAAGGCTCAAGAAGTATGCCCCACAGCCACTGGCCTCCGTTCTGCGAGTTCCTGGGTGTTTTGTCTTCATGCGTTCTACATTTCTCTTCACAGGAAAGATTTTGAATATTGTCAGCTTCAAAGCAAAGTGGAAGATGAGCAGACACTGGGCCTCCAGTTTCAGAAGAAAATTAAAGAGTTGCAGGTGGGAGGCCTTTGCATCTCTCTTTTCCGTGTGGGGTCACTTACAGTGAGCTGGGTGCTGTCTGCTGTAAGCCATTTAGAGCAAGTGGACAAGACTGTGGGGCCACCTGCCCCATGGTTCCCTTTCTGCGTGGCTGGCCTGGCAGTGATGAACCGTTTTCTGTAACATCTGACAAAATCATAATCAAAGTGTTTAAGGTCAATATTTCGTTGAGTGGAAAATGTCCTGGTTTGGTCACTGCAGGGGTAATTACTATGTTGGGGCAGAAAAAATTCATGTGAAAGGAAATTTGCAGTATTCACTGGGGGGAGTCTAAGACTCAGTTTGTCTAATGGAGAGGGAAGCCAGCCTGTTCTTGACAATCAGAGTCCCTGTGGGGAAGTGACTGCCCGCCGGGTGAATGGCTGCCCTCCACAGGCTCGAATTGAGGAGCTGGAAGAGGAGATAGAGGCGGAGAGGGCGACCCGTGCGAAGACCGAGAAACAGCGTAGCGATTACGCCCGGGAGCTGGAGGAGCTGAGCGAGCGGCTGGAGGAGGCGGGAGGCGTCACCTCCACGCAGATAGAGCTCAACAAGAAGCGGGAGGCGGAGTTCCTGAAGCTGCGCCGGGACCTGGAGGAGGCCACCCTGCAGCACGAAGCCACGGTGGCCACGCTGAGGAAGAAGCACGCAGACAGTGTGGCCGAGCTCGGGGAGCAGATTGACAACCTGCAGCGGGTGAAGCAGAAGCTGGAGAAGGAGAAGAGCGAGTTCAAGCTGGAGATTGATGACCTCTCCAGCAGCATGGAGAGCGTGTCGAAATCTAAGGTGATGGCAGGGGCGGGGGTGGGGGGCGGGGGCGGGGGGCGCGCAAGGCCTTCCATCAGAGAGACTCCATGGTCATGCAAACCTGACTTTGTCGACTGACTTTGTTCCCTCTTCTGAATCCTTCAGGCAAATCTGGAAAAAATCTGCCGAACCCTGGAGGATCAGTTAAGTGAGGCCAGGGGCAAGAATGAGGAGATTCAGAGGTGCCTGAGCGAGCTGACCACGCAGAAGTCCCGTCTGCAGACTGAGGCTGGTGAGCCACATGCAGGGAACCCGTAGGGCCAAAACCTCCTGGCACCCAGCAGCGCAGCTGGCTGAAACCAAGGGCAGGGTGTGTTTGGGGGAGAATCTCTAGGGAGGCATCTTTTCAGGAGAGAAGAAAGTAAATAACTCACAGAAAGAGCCGTTTGAAATACCCCGAAGGGAGAGAACATTGAGTGTTGAGTAAGAACAAGAGAGAGAAAAGTAGACCAGAATGAGAAGGGGCTCAAACTCTCATCTCATTCAAACTCTTTCAAAATTAATACAGACTTGCATTGAACAGACTCTGATGGGCAGAAAGGAGACTAGAAACTAAGAGCCATCGTCTTCTAGTTCTTTCTGCACATGAATTCAGATATGCACTGTGCATCCAAGTTTCTGAGAACAAAGAGAGAAACGTGGCCAGTGTTTAAAGGTCTTGGTGTATAACAAAAATGTAAGGGAGGCCGGGTATGGCGGATCACGCCTGTCGTCCCAGCACTTTGGGAGGCCAAAGCGGGTGGATCACCTTAGGTCAGGAGTTCAAGACCAGTCTGGTCAACATGGAGAAACTCTGTCTCTACTAGAAATACAAAAATTAGCTGGGCATGGTGGTGGGGCACCTGCAATCCCAGCTACTTGGGAGGCTGAGGCCGGAGAATGGCTTGAACCCAAGAGGCAGGGGTTGCAGTGAGCCGAGACTGTGCCATTGCACTCCAGCCTGGACAACAAGAGTGAAACTCCATCCACCTCTGCCCCCCTCCAAAGAGTAAGGAAATGTTATTTGGGGCTTCTGCCTAGAAAGCGTGGCTCCACCCAGCCCTGGTGCATCCTCACAGGTGAATGAATCCTTGGCTGGCAGTCACAGCCAAGGCAATGAAGAGAACTTTGGTAGCCACCTTTGCGCTCATGTCGGGGCATTCACCTCTGGAGTCATAAAGCCCCATTCCACGGTTTTCTCTTACCTCTATTGAAGCATATAAACTTGAACTAACCCTAGTCACCCAAGAGTCTAACTAGAGATACAAAGCTCTAAGTATTTCTCTAAGTATTTGTTAACAAGTCAACACGCAGCTGGAAATACCTGCCACTGGGGAAGTCTGATAGGAGTTATTAGATGCTCCTGGTAATGTTTACACTTAAAGTTCTTCTCAGTGGATTCTTTTTTTTTTTTTTTTTTGAGATGGAGTCTTGCTGTGTCACCCAGGCTGTAGTGCAGTGGCACGATCTCAGCTCACGGCATCCTCCGCCGCCCAGGTTCAAGCGATTCTCCTGCCTCAACCGCCTGAGTAGCTGGGACTACAGGCATGCACCACCACGCCCAGCTAATTTTTTTGTATTTTAGTAGAGATGGGGTTTTACCATGTTGGCTAGGATGGTCTCGATCTCCTGACCTCGTGAACCGCCTGCCTCTGCCTCCCAAAGTGCTGGGATGCCCAGCCAGATATTTTTTTTTTGACTGAATTCAGTCCCACCTTCCAGTAGTTTACAACAATATCCTTATCAGTTCTGCTTTCAGTTTCCTTTTCATGAACAATAGACCTTTTCCCTCAAGAAAAAAGCCATCTTATCATTTCCTCTCTCTCTAGATCTTAGCGCAGTGCTTTACACGTAACAGGAACTTGGTGAGTGAATGAGCGAATGAATGAACTCAAAAGTATTTCCTTCTGGACACAGGTGAGCTGAGTCGTCAGCTGGAAGAAAAGGAAAGCATAGTATCCCAACTTTCCAGGAGCAAGCAAGCATTTACCCAGCAAATAGAAGAGCTCAAGAGGCAGCTGGAGGAAGAGAACAAGGTCTATCTTCGAAGGGAGGCTTCTTTGCTCTTATTTTCAGATTATCACCTGTGGGAGGAAAAATGAAAGGCAATTTCATTCAGTAGCTGGTGATAGAAGGAACAAACTTGGATTGTATCATGCCCTTGGTACTAGATATATTAGGTGCTCTTCTCTTTTTGACTTCTGCAGGCCAAGAACGCCCTGGCGCACGCCCTGCAGTCCTCCCGCCACGACTGCGACCTGCTGCGGGAACAGTATGAGGAGGAGCAGGAAGGCAAAGCCGAGCTGCAGAGGGCGCTGTCCAAGGCCAACACTGAGGTTGCCCAGTGGAGGACCAAATACGAGACGGACGCCATCCAGCGCACAGAGGAGCTGGAGGAGGCCAAGTGCGTCGCTCTGTTTGCTTTAGAACAACTGGGGAATCAATTCGATGATTTTGTTTTCGTTACTCGATGTTTCCCCATCTTATGTGTCTTTAAATGTGGTGCTGCACCATCCGAGGGACCTGGCGTTAGCACGTTTTATTAAAACAGACAACTTTGATCTTGGCTAAACACAAGGCCAGTTATTGATCCCGGGTTTGGAGTAGACAGGAAATTCTCCCAGGCATTTAAAAACATGGGCGTCTGACTCACACAGATGAATGATTCCAGCTTGATGAGTAGTGATGTTCAAGTGGATGGAAACTTAAATAAACAGCTGCTTCTCTTTCATATTCTTTAAGGAAAAAACTTGCTCAGCGCCTTCAAGATTCCGAGGAACAGGTTGAGGCCGTGAATGCTAAATGTGCTTCGCTGGAGAAGACTAAGCAGAGGCTGCAAGGAGAGGTGGAGGATCTGATGGTTGACGTGGAAAGAGCCAACTCCCTGGCTGCCGCTCTGGACAAGAAGCAGAGAAACTTTGACAAGGTGTGGGGTCCGCTCTGTGCTGGCTAAACGCCACGATGTAGGGGATTTCTAGTAGCTGTGGAAGGAGGGGAATGCATCCCAGGCCTGACTGCCGTCATCAGCAGTGTGGCCTTCAGACAAGTGCCTGAACTTCACTGGACTGTAATTTCCTCACCTGCAAAACAGAAGGAATGGGCTGGGGGTAGAGGTCCCTTTCAAATGTTGCCTGTGGAAACAACCCAATTTCTACAATGTTGTGCAGCCCTAAGCATTTTTCCTTTCCCGATACTGCTGGTCTGTCTAAGCTGAGGTCCCACTGGGAGGCTTTCTGGAAGCCCTTCTTTCAAGACGACAGATTAAGTTGGTTGGAACCAATGCTTTAATGAAATATTTAGAAGCACGAGGCCATTTTCATATTAGGAAAAGGGCAATTATATCCAGCTAATTCCTTCTCGAAGGATCGATTTGCTTTTTCAAGATGGCAGTTGTCCCTGACTCATTACCTTGAGTATGTTTATGGAAGAAAATCTTGATTAGCCCCATAATCAATAAAAAGGAGCCAGGCAAGTGATGCCAAGGGTGGCCCTAACTCTACATTTAATTTAGTTATTTAGAATTTAGTTAGAAACCTAGAGGAGAGCTCAGAAACGGAGAGACTGTCCATCCCGCTGTTACAGGTGTTGGCCGAATGGAAGACAAAGTGTGAGGAGAGCCAAGCAGAGCTGGAGGCATCTCTGAAGGAGTCCCGCTCCTTAAGCACGGAGCTCTTCAAACTGAAAAACGCCTACGAAGAAGCCTTAGATCAGCTTGAAACTGTGAAACGGGAAAATAAGAACTTAGAGCGTAAGCCATTCGAAACCGTCCGAAACCTTTTCCTTTAGTGTTCTTATTGCCTGAGAGCATGCTGGCATGGGTGTGGCTTCATCATTCAGATTCCTATACACATGTGCAATAATGCACACACAAAGGGTTCACCATCTGATGGGTTACATTTTAGTCTGTCTCTATACGATATCTTATCCCCAGGAAATAGGAATCCTTAGGATGATAATAAAAACTAGGTTCCCTTTGCATGTCTGGAAACCCATGCAGAGGCGCTCATAAGCAATCAAAACTTATTTCTTGGCAGAGGAGATAGCAGATCTCACAGAACAAATTGCTGAAAATGGTAAAACCATCCATGAACTGGAGAAATCAAGAAAGCAGATTGAGCTGGAAAAGGCTGATACTCAGCTGGCTCTAGAGGAAGCAGAGGTGAGCACTGGGAGGCGGGCACAGACACAGTCGTGCTGAGCGGCTGCCAGGGAGGCAGGCTGCTCTGTGATGTGTCTTCATTTTGCTTCTGTCAAATCATTTTTGCTTCTGCCTAATGCCTGCTCGTTTCCTGTCACTCAGCAAAACCGTGAGGCTGAATAGTAGGAATTATCAGCCTTGTGAATTATCTTATATTTATTGGAGAAGACTGTCATATTAAAATAGGCTTAATGATGAGATTTTACAAAATCTTAGATGAATTAAAAATAGCTAGAAAGTGCTTTACGCACCTAAGAAATATGATGATTTAAGCATTACTATTGGTTGACGGTATAATCAAGACCAACAAGCAATGAAACATAGTTTTGTTTCTGCACTGAAGATAGATTTGAGACTTTTAAAAAGTGAGTTGTGAGTATCACAGGGTTAGATTTAGGATTATTCCACTGAAGCTTTGTTACCCTGCAACGTAGTGGAGCTGGCTCTATACCAACATGGACACTATTTGATTTGGTTTTGTTTCCTAAAGGCTGCTCTTGAGCATGAGGAAGCCAAGATCCTCCGAATCCAGCTTGAACTGACGCAAGTGAAATCAGAAATTGATAGAAAGATCGCTGAGAAGGATGAGGAGATCGAGCAGCTGAAGAGGAACTACCAGAGGACGGTGGAAACCATGCAAAGTGCCCTGGACGCCGAGGTCCGGAGCAGGAATGAAGCCATCCGCCTCAAGAAGAAGATGGAGGGGGACCTGAACGAAATCGAGATCCAGCTGAGCCACGCCAACCGCCAGGCTGCAGAGACCCTCAAACACCTCCGGAGTGTCCAGGGACAGCTGAAGGTTTGAGAGAGCTCCTTGGGGAAAAGCCTCTTCCATCCTCACATGCTCAGAGATGCAGGCTGGGCACAGTGGTTCACGTCTGTAGTCCCAGCGCTTCGGGAGACCAAGGCAAAAAGCTTGCTTGAGCCCAGGAGTTCAAGACCAGCCTGGGCAATACAGCAAAACCTCATCTCTATAAAAAAAATATAAAAATCAGCTAGGCATGGTGGCATGAGCCTGTAGTCTCAGCTACTTGGGAAGCTGAGATGGAAGGACTGCTTGAGCCCGGGAGGCAGATGTTGCAGCAAGCTGAGATCACGCCACTGCACACCAGCTTGGGTCACAGAACAAGACCCTGTCTTAAAAAACAAACAAACAAACAAACAACAACAACAACAAAAGAAACTCAGAGATGTAGATGAGGCTCATGGTCCTAATGCCTCAACTTCAAATAGAACGTTCCTTTTTCCTCTGGCTAGGACACACAGCTCCACCTGGATGATGCCCTCCGTGGCCAGGAGGACCTAAAGGAGCAGCTGGCCATCGTGGAGCGCAGAGCCAACCTGCTGCAGGCTGAGGTGGAGGAGCTGCGGGCCACTCTGGAGCAGACAGAGAGGGCCCGGAAACTGGCGGAACAGGAGCTCCTGGACTCCAATGAGAGGGTGCAGCTGCTGCACACCCAGGTGAGGGAAGGGAGAGGAAAAGAGGTAAGGTTGCAGCCTCAGACGCACCTGGGTAACAGCTCTCCTCTTGCCCTAGAACACCAGCCTCATCCACACCAAGAAGAAGCTGGAGACCGATCTCATGCAGCTGCAGAGTGAGGTGGAAGATGCCAGCAGGGATGCCAGGAATGCTGAGGAGAAGGCCAAGAAGGCCATCACAGACGTAAGTCCTCTCCTTCCTGCTGCCCTCGGGCTGCCGGGATGGCACTGCATTAAAGTTCCCACACAGTTAGGCAGGTGGGGTCTCCCCCAGACACACCTGGTGCACACTCTGCTCCCCAAGCTCTCCCATCTCCGCCAAATCTCCTGGTCCCACCTGCACTTTAGAGGAAGAGCATAAGAAAAAAAGGCAGGAAGGGATTATATCCTAGTAGTTCTGCCTGGCTCGGAGAGGTGTGCACGTCTTTCCGTCAACATCTGACTTATTCTAAATATGAAAACAAGATCCTGGCTGGGTGCAGTGGCTCACGCCTGTAATCCCAGCACTCTGGGAGGCTGAGGCAAGTGGGTCACCTGAGGTCGGGAGTTCGAGACCAGCCTGACCAACATGGAGAAACCCCATCTCTACTACAAATACAAAATTAGCTGGGCTTAGTGGTGTATGCCTGTAATCCCAGCTACTTGGGAGACTGAGGCAGGAGAATCACTTGAGCCCTGGAGGTGGAGGTTGTGGTGAGCTGAGATCACACCACTGCACTCCATCCTGGGCAACAAGATAGAAACTCAGTCTCAAAAAAAAAAAAAAAAAAAAAAAAAAGAAAAGAAAGAAAACAAGACCCAGCCAGGCGCGGTGGCTCAAGCCTGTAATCCCAGCACTTTGGGAGGCCGAGGCGGGTGGATCACGAGGTCAAGAGATCGAGACCATCCTGGTCAACATGGTGAAACCCCGTCTCTACTAAAAATACAAAAACTAGCTGGGCGTGGTGGCGCGTGCCTGTAATCCCAGCTACTTAGGAGGCTGAGGCAGGAGAATTGCCTGAGCCCAGGAGGCGGAGGTTGCGGTGAGCCGAGATCGCGCCATTGCACTCCAGCCTGGGTAACAAGAGCGAAACTCCGTCTCAAAAAAAAAAAAAAAAAAATTAAAATTAGAAAACAAGACCCAGAGATGTCAATATCCCACACCTTTCTCCCTTCCTGGATCTCCAAGGCTGTCTCCCGGTGGCCCACAGCTCTAATGGTGCCACCTGCTGCCTGGCGGGAGAACTTTACCTCAAAACGACTTTGCTGTTTCTCTACAGCCTTAATTCTCCAGAGGTCTTCCCTTAATCTCACTATCACCAGATCTGTGAGGCTGGGTATCAAGTCAGACTACTCTAAGTCTCAAGCTCTTTTGAAAATATATATTGATAAAAAAAAAAAGAATTTCCCTGGGGCAGAGGAGGGTTTCAAGGAGGCCAGCTTAAGAAGGGGAAGAAACTGTTTCCCAGCCTGTCCCTGAAGGTCTCATTGCTTAGGTTATTTTATCTACTGGGTATAGCTCTGACACTCTTCCAGGGCAGCAGGGTGTACTCAGTCACAGGCTCACCTATTGTCCTTTTTCTTTAGCACGGTCTCTAGTCCGCTGAGGTCCCTGGGTTTTGACAGTTCTGAGGCACTGGAGCTTCCTCGGCATCCTAGCAAGTCCCATGTGCTTTTCAGGCTGCCATGATGGCGGAGGAGCTGAAGAAGGAGCAGGACACCAGCGCCCACCTGGAGCGGATGAAGAAGAACCTGGAGCAGACGGTGAAGGACCTGCAGCACCGTCTAGATGAGGCCGAGCAGCTGGCGCTGAAGGGCGGGAAGAAGCAGATCCAGAAACTGGAGACGAGGGTGTGTGCAGGAGGAACCCTGTCTGTGCTGCCCTTTCCAGCCTCCTGATCATGCTCCAGCCCCAGACTAATTTCCCCACCCTCTCCCCCAGATCCGAGAGCTGGAGTTTGAGCTTGAGGGGGAGCAGAAGAAGAACACAGAGTCTGTTAAGGGTCTGAGGAAGTATGAGCGGAGGGTCAAGGAGCTGACGTACCAGGTAAGCGGAAGGCAAATGCCATGATCATGTCCTCTGTGAAGTGCAAATGCCACCCCAGACTCTCCACCGAACCTCAGAAAGAAACACGTGAGCCCAGAAAGCGGAGCGCGCGTGTGCCAATCTGCCCCCTCCTCTCCCGTGACATTCCCACTTTCTCATTTAGAGTGAAGAGGACAGGAAGAATGTGCTGAGATTGCAGGATCTGGTGGATAAACTGCAAGTCAAAGTCAAGTCCTACAAGAGGCAGGCTGAGGAGGCGGTAAGTGAGATCAGTGCTGACTGCGGCACGCAGCCCAGGCTGTTCCCCACAGGGAGTTCTGTGCTGACCTAACCTGCCTGGGCTCTTTGGTTTTAGGATGAACAAGCCAATGCTCATCTCACCAAATTCCGAAAGGCTCAGCACGAGCTGGAGGAGGCCGAGGAACGTGCGGATATTGCAGAATCTCAAGTCAACAAGCTCCGTGCTAAGACTCGAGACTTCACCTCCAGCAGGGTGAGGCGCTGACTTGGCAGAGCTCCCAGGGACTGTGGAAACTTCCGAGCTGGAAGGAACCTCAGAGAACCCCTTACTTTAGAACTGGGGAATCTCAGGCTCAGGAAGATAAAGTGCTTAAAGCCACTTAGCTGACTGTACCTTCACTAGGATCCAGGCTGTGAGTCACAGTGAAAACCACCATCCTGCACATACACACCATGGAATACTATGCAGCCATGAAAAGGAATGAGATCATGTTTTTTGCAGGGACATGGATGAAGCTGGAAGCCATCATTCTCAGCAAACTAGCACAGGAACAGAAAACCAAACACCACATGTTCTCACTTATTAGTGAGAGTTGAACAGTGAGAACACATGGACACAGGGAGGGGAACATCACACCCTGGGGCCTGTCGGGGAGTAGGGGAGAGGGGAGGGAGAGCATTAGGACAAATATCTAATACATGCGGGACTTAAAACCTAGATGATGAGTTGATGGGTGCAGCAAACCACCATGGCACATGCATACCTATGTAACAAACCTGCACATTCTGTACATGTATCCCAGACTACAAATTAAAAAAACAAAAAACAAAATCCTGCCATCCTGAAAAGGAGCGAGTGGGTCCCACTGAGCACGTTCATGCGCCCCCTGCTGGTACCAGAAGGCTGCTGCAGGAGCTCCCTCCAGAGCCCACTGAACTCACAACATCAGACAGTAGGTTCGGGGTTGCCCAGCTGTCCAGCTTTCAGGGCTTGTTCTTTCGGAGGACCAGTTTCTCAGGCTATGGAGTGACTCCATGTATACAGTCGTGCATTTTCCCAAGGTCCAGTGTCCTGTGTCCCACTGGAGTAGGCAAGCAAATCCCTGATGCCAGCCGGCAGAAGTGGGGGGCGGGAATCTCTGCCACCCGACTTGACTCCAGGTATCTACTTTCTTCCCAGATGGTGGTCCACGAGAGTGAAGAGTGAGCCAGCCCTTCTGAAGCAGGACAGAAGATATGCAAAATGTATATTTTCTTGGTTCCTGACCATCGATACCTAATGTCCACGTGACTCTTTCACATGCGATAAACTTTGCTTTGTGTCCATCTGGGGCTGTTTTGCTGTATTGGTTTTCCTCTTTCCCGTGTGGAAACAGTTCCTAGTTTGATGGTTTCTGTGCTCAGAGGTAGAATGTTTGTAAGCAGATGGCTCGGTAAATCCCATTGGCGTGTGTATGTGCAGAGGGAGAGATGGCTTTTTTACTTAAATCAAAAGGGGGGAAAAACACTTCCAGGTTAAACTTTGCTTTGGTGGGGAGTGGCAGGGAAGACCTTTCAAAAGAGTCATCTCTTAATATGTCATGAAGGGAACACAAAGGTAGGTTCATGAAAAGCGCTTTCTCGGTTGAATCGGGTTATAAAGCGAAGGTCCACATTCCCCTTCTTCACATTCGACTGGGGAAATACATCTGAAATCTAGTATGTGTTGAGCAGCTGTTCATGCAATCTCTGTGCTATCAGGAATACACAAATGAATACAAAAGAGGCTGACCCTTCAAACATTCAGTCTAAATCACAGCTGTTATCTTAGCTAAATGTGCACTATTTCAAAGCTGCCCGACAGAAAATCCCACCCCTGACCCAAGGTACCCTTGTCTTTACCTTAAGAGGGAAGGGGCCGGGCGTGGTGTCTCACGCCTGTAATCACAGCACTTTGAGTGGGCAGATCACGAGGTCAAGAGATCAAGACCATCCTTGTGAACATAGTGAAACCCTGTCTCTACTAAAAATACAAAAATTAGCTGGGCGTGGTGATGTGGGCCTATAGTCCCAGCCACTTGGAAGGCTGAGGCAGGAGAATCGCTTGAACCAGGGAGGCAGAGGTTGCAGTGAGCTGAGATTGTGCCACTGCACCCCAGTCTGGTGACAGAGTGAGAATCTGTCTTAAAAAAAAAAAAAAAAAAAAAAAGCAGGAAGTCAAGTAACCACCTGGTTGACATGCTACTAGAAAGAGCATCTTGTAGCTGGGATCCTTTGTTTATTGTCATCATTAAATTTATTCGCAGTAGCTGCCAAATTCCCTTCTTTGATTCCAGAAGTTTAAGGGACCCAGTTTGATTCAGGTGAAAATTAAAGGCCAAGGGGTGTTTTCTTCAGCTACCAGCACCAAGTTCAGCATTTCCTGGGATTTGCCATTATAATAGAAAGGGGTCAACTTATCCATGTCAGATTTGGCCTGTCAGTAACTTCAAGTCATTTTTCTCAAAGACCACATCACTTGCTTTCAATACTTGATGGCAACACTGTGACTAAAAAAATGGCATGTCCTTCTGGTGATGGCTGTCGCCGAGAGGAGATTGCCACAGTTAGAACAAGTCTGACCCATGCCCTGGCCAGAACCAGTGACACAAGGACCTACGGTCACTCAGGTCCTCTCGGAATTTACGAGGACTCTGTAGAACTCCTTCCAAGGAAAGCCAGCAATAGAGAAAGCAAATGAAATTTCTCATTACAGAGGTATTCCACATGAGAAGTCAAAAAGGAATGGAGTAACAAATATCACCAGAATTAGGAACGCTTAGTGAACTGTGGCTACCAGCATCACAAAAAAAACAGACAACCAGGCATATGTGACCCCGACAGAAGTACACACCATCACCTACAAAGAATTCCATCCACCTGGAGTCTGCTCACACCTCTAGATGTGACTACTACCAATTTATAGGAAATCTGGGGGACAGAGACACAAGATGCAAACAATAAAATCCAGGATGTGGGGGAACTCAACAAATCATTTAGCTTTTTCAATACATTAACTGCAAAGAAGAAAGTATAAAAGAAATAGAAGGGGTACCTGTAGATTAAAAGAGACCTAGTAGACCTATCCACGAATTGCACTGTGTGGACCTTGTTAGGATACTGCTTTGCACAAACAGGCTGTTAAAAAGTAGACACACACACACACACACACACACACACTCCAATTGGTAAATTTAAATAGTGACTGGATATGGATGATGATATGAGATTATTCTTAATTTTAAGGTATAACACAATATTGTGATTATGTTTTCTAAGATAGTCCTTATCTTTTAAAAATACGTGATAAAGGCCAGGAGTGGTGGCTCACACCTGTAATCCCAGCATTTTGGGAGGCCGAGGCGGGCAGATCATGAAGTCAAGAGATCGAGACCATCCTGGCCAACATAGTGAAACCCTGTCTCTACTAAAAATACAAAAATTAGCTAGGCGTGGTGGGGTGTGCCTGCAGTCCCAGCTACTTGGGAGGTTGAGGCAGGAAAATCACTTAAACCCGGGAGGCAGAGGTTGCAGTGAGCCGAGATTGTGCCACTGCACTACAGCCTATCGACAGAGTGAGACTGTCTCAAAAACAAAAAACAAAAAACCTGGTAAGGCCGGGCATGGTGGCTCACACCTGTAATCCCAGCACTTTGGGAGGCCGAGGCGAGCAGACCACCTAAGGTCAGGAGTTTGAGACCAGCCTGCCCAACATGGTGAAAAACCCTGTCCCCCACCCTCCACACCAAAAAAAAAAAAAAAAAAAAAAAAAAGAATCTGAAAGTCTAAGATGATGGAGGAAGAAGGTTTTATGAGTCCATACGTTGCACTTCTATTGGCATGGCTAATATTGTTGGGTAGAGATAGCCCATCCCCCATATCCGGGACCCACATTCGGCAGGCCGCCTCTAGAGATCAGTCTACCCAGCAACAAGGCAAGCCAATCATCTCCCCCCTTTAGCCCGCCAAAGCTAAGCCAACCCTTGCACACCACGATATTCCCCCTCCGCCCATGTCCAACCGCCACCAATCACTCCACGACACCTCGCCTAAACAGGCCGCCGCCCCTATAAAAACCCTCTCCGGCAGCTGCTGGGTGCAGCTCTTCCCTCTCCCGCTCGAGTTGCCTGCAGACCCCAAATAAACCTGGACTCGGCCCAACGGTTCCTCGGATTAAATTATTTTGGGAAGGGTCTCTGCGGGTCGTACATTTGGTGCCGAAACCCGGGAGGTGTGGGTGGCTGGTCCACCAGCGGCCCCCTCCCTCTGGCGACCCCCTTCCTCTGAATTGGCCTCCACGCTCCGGATAAGGTAAGTCCATTTGCTTGCCTATCTTCCCCGCGGTGCGTGTGGTGGCCTCCTTTCCTTTCGCGTCTCCCACTCCACGGATCCCTCGCCAAGCGCCGGCCGGCCCGAGTCAGATCCTCCAACCAGGCTCCAGGAGCCTTGGAAGTGATTAGACGAGGGACGCCTCCTCTGGTCCTTCCCACACGCACATTCACATGATAGGGGCAGCCAGACGGGGGACACCTCCTCTGACTCTTCCTATTTCCCTCTAGAGGGGCTGTGGGACAGACGGGACGCCTCTTTCCACACCACTCTAGCCTGATCCCGCTAAAGGGAAGGTCCCGCCACACGCGCCATGGGGAACACGGAGTCTCAAATTCCTAACACCACCCCTCTCGGGTGCTTACTCCTCAACTTTTCTCGGCTGGGCTACTCCCAGATCCTCAAACGAAAGAAGCTTATCTTTCTGTCCCAAGTGGCCTGGCCCCAATACCAGCTTGATAACCGGTCACATTGGCCTCCGACTAGTACTTTCAATTTTAACGTCCTACGAGACCTAGACAATTTTTGTCGCCGTACTGGCAAGGATCGCGAGGTGCCGTACGTCCAGGCTTTTTGGGATTTGCGTTCCCACCCCGACCTCTGCTCCTCCTGTTCCACTCATCAAGTTCTCTTAGCTCGCACCCCTCCCAAGGTCAGCTCTCCCCCTCCTTATGAACCGCAGGAGGAGCTGCCTGATTATCTATCGCCCCCGCCCCAGTCACCCCAAACCCCCGCCTCCGCCAGTTGCAGGACCTGCCCCCGCTCCCCCAACTTCCTCTACCTCTGCCCCCACACCCACAGCTCCTCCTCCTCCTTCCTCGTCCTCCTCCCCTTCTGCTGTTGCGGTGCCACCCCCTTTAAGTTCTCCAGTTGCGGTCCATACTCGTTCCCACCCACCGGCTAAACAACTTTCAAATCTCTACTTTAAACACTGACCTCTCATCCATGTACTGAATCAGTATTTCCAGCTTTCTCAGAATTTCTACACTTGTGCGTCTCATCTTTACTTAGGACACAGACGAACCAAGCAAATTAACTTCCCCGGTATACCAGCACTCCTTCTCAACCTGCCTGTCTTTACTTTTTGTAGCCCCCAATATTAGAAGGAGCAACTTCTTACTTAGAATTGTACTGGAGACCTGGTACTAATAATACCTGCCAGCCAGGCATGGTGGCTCACGCCTGTAATCCAAGCACTTTGGAAGCCAAGGCGGGCGGATCACCTGAGTTCAGGAGTTCATGACCAGCCTGACCAACATGGTGAAACCCCGTCTTAAAAAAAAAAAAAAAAAAAAAAAAAAAAAAGGCACCGGGTGCGGTGGCTCAAGCCTGTAATCCCAGCACTTTGGGAGGCCGAGGCGGGTGGATCACGAGGTCAAGAGATCGAGACCATCCTGGTCAACATGGTGAAACCCCGTCTCTACTAAAAATACAAAAAATGAGCTGGACATGGTGGCGCGTGCCTGTAATCCCAGCTACTCAGGAGGCTGAGGTAGGAGAATTGCCTGAACCCAGGAGGCGGAGGTTGGGCTGTCTTGGTGCCACTTTGTGAGGTGGCCGGGGCAGAAGGTCTCGTCAGAGTTCGTGTTCCTTTCTCCCTCCAAGACCTGGCTCAAATCGAACGCCGACTTGGATCTTTCTCGGCTGATCCCTCCACCTATATTAGGGAGTTTCAGTACCTTACTCAGGCCTATAGTCTCACATGGCACGATATCCGTGTCATTTGCACCTCCACTCTTTCCGCAGAAGAACATGAGCGCATTCTAGCGGCGGCTAGACATATAGCTGACAGGGATCATGCTATAAACCCCAACCAGGTCCCCGCTGGAGCTGAAGTTCTCCCTAGCACAGACCCCCAGTGGATTTATCAGGAGGGGCCAGGATCTCACATCCCAGCTCGTGACCGCATGCTCCAATATCTCCTACGGGGCATGGATACTGTCTCCAATAAGGTGGTGAACTATGACAAACTTAGAG